ACCTGGAATTGGATCAGGATAGATTGAACATCACTAGATTAGTCCCTGAAAGTTTCATTGCATTTGTTCAAACCATGTGTAATCCACCAATGACGTGGAGTTTTCTAGGTTTTCTTTGTTTCTAACATCTAAAAGGGGGCTAGTTTTCTAGGAGGTATCATTGTCCATGTATTCCATTGCTGTATCCCATCAAACAAACCAAATCAATGCCTAAAACATAAATTTGAAATGAATGAAATTTTATTTGACTTATAAGCTCAAAGCTAACCATATGCTGAGCTGTTGAGAACTTGTATGAGGTTGGAGTAGAGAAGACTCCTTTAACCATTTATTTTTTTGAACAGATGTTATAGCTTTTTATTAGTAAACAAACGTGTATTTTAAAGATTTTATTTTATGTTAGTAAAATTAACATTAATTTTATACGAGTAAGAATCAGTAAAGGTATCTAACTTTTCCCTGGTCCAGGTAAAATCTCCAGCTCCCCTCAACAGTCCTGACCATATATCTCATTTTGAATTGAATTTCAAAACAAATGTTTGTGTAGTAATAAAACAAAAGCAGTTTGTAAACATTTTTCTGTTGTTCATGGAAGTAAAATACTATACAACTAACATCTACTTAACGAGAAACGTGAGGATGTCAAAAAGACTTTTATGACAAAGATGCTGAAACTTTGAACCAGAGTCACCAGTAATGAGCAAATAAAACCATTGAAAGCTGGTACAAGTACTTTTGAAAACTTAGGAACTTTGTTATTAAAAATATGAAATTGATATTTACAAGTGAAATGCTATTTATACATACATAAATCTACTTTTCTGTGTTATTTCCTTGATTAAACAAATAAGTTACAAAACGCATCAAAAGTTTTAATTCAAAATAATTATTTTAATCACTAAAATATTCATTAGATAAACCACACTTGGTTCATAAATTTAGAAACACAATATGCAGGCTACGTATTTTGTTTAGTAATTTTGTATTGAACACTTGCTATTGTGGTTCTTACTTCATTATGGGCGAATCTAAGAAGCTGACAAAAGAAAACATTAAAAATTCTGAACAAATGTGACTGAGTAAATCAATAGAATATATTTCCAAAGATTTAAATAGATTTAAAACAACAACAAATTTAAATAGATCATAAATCAGCTCTTTCAAAATGTTTGAAACGAATAAATAATGACATTGAAATCATCATAACCCAGCAAAACTGCCAAGTAGGCCAAACATAACCAAATGTGATATTAATATGTTGTGGTCCTTGTGAAGTGATGCATCCCTTCACCATAACTTTTGTTAGGAACTTTACATACTGTTTTATACAGTTAGGCTGAAATTCCTCGCCCTTTCTTTAAACAATAGGTAGTCTGTTAGCGTTTGTCAGTAGTAGTCCAAATTCAATACGAACGTTTGTTTCTTGAAAATTTGATCACGATTTAAATACAGTATTTACTTTTAATATTACCGATATGTCATCGAAAAGAAAACGTGTTGTATTATCATTAAAAGACAAATTAAAGTATTTGTTTCGATTATCCGGATTTTTGCTTATCCGGACTACCTTCATCCCCAATTAGTTCGGATAATCGAGGTTCTACTTACTTGTACATTATTAGCTAAGAGATATGAAATGATCACACTATAAATGTAGGCGTTTTTTTTGTAGAATCCCGTAACGTCAAAGCAAAATAACATAATCCAGCTGTATCAATGACGTTTGTGTGTTTTGAAAAAGCAACAATCACTTCTAAATTTATTGCCACCTGTCAAGCAAAGTCTTCGTGTTGTGTTTCCGTTAAACTGTTTTGCATAACAGTTCTAGAAGCTTTGATATTCGTCCAGGAATAGTTCAGCGATTTGTAACTGATCCTCTCAGAAAACAAGATTGAAGGCCATGCATCTTTATAGATAACAAAGTGGTGGCAAAAAGCAATTCGGTTTTAATTGTAAAATATTACAAAACAGATAACAAACACATCTCAGTTATGTTTTGTTTTGTTTAAAATTATTGTTGTAAGAATATAAATATTAATACAACAGGGAAAAATTAATACGACATATTAAAATTAAAAAATGGCGAAAATCCAAAAAAATCCAACAACAACAGAACAGAACTTTGTCTATTTTTATTCGAATAATTTATTACATTAGAATTTTTAATGATGAAAGTTAATTTTAATTATTCAATTATAAGTTAAATAATTAATTTAAATTTGAAAAGATTAAAGAAAATTGAAATTCTCAAATTCTAAATTCTACTTAATATAAGAATAATATTAATAATCAGAATAATTCTTCATAATCATCAGCAATGATGCTATGTTTTATTCTGAACTGCAAATTAAACATCGTAGTCGACGAAAAATATATGTGAAGAAATTCATGCAGGTTACTTCCTAAAAAATAAAATAAAATTATAAATAAACAATAAGAAAAGAAATTTTAAAAATGTTCTAATTAGTAAAATTAAATATAAATTTTCAGAGTCGTTTAGATTTGAAAAATAATAGATACGGTAATTATAAATTAATATATACACCTTTTAAATATTAAGTTAATTTTTCTAAAAGAAAATCAAATATAAATAACTAAAAATAAATAGTTATACAAGAACAAAATTTCAAAACATTATGCAAAATTTACTACATAAAATAAAATTTCCGAAAACATATTATTACAAATGGCCTATTTTAATTATTTTAATAAGTTGAATTTTGCTATAAGAAAGGTAAAAATTGTTATCTGTAAGTACAAATAAAATAAATAAATTTGAAAATTCAATTCAATGTTGACAGGTTCTCCAATTACATTAAATTATCTCAAATTTGGTAATCATAATTATTTACATCGTTAAATGATAGAATGTTCACTTCTAGCACACAATTTTCAAATAATTAAATCTTTTAACTAATCATATTATAACATCGCCTATTTTCCGATTACAATACAATATTTTAATTTTAATTAAATATTTTACATTATAATCAGACATGATAAAAAGAAAATTTTGAAATGAAATTGTGCTTGGTAAATTTAAACATATTTATCAGTTCTTATATCTAAACAAGACGAAAACTACAAAATATATTCTCACCTCTTTTTCTGTTCCTGCATTCGATTCCTCCTCGTCTACATATGGGCAGTCATCATGCTTGATTTCCTCAAAATCTGTTAATTGATTTATCATTTGCCCTTCGTTCTTATTATCTTTATTAGTTTTATTGCCTTCTGCAAAAATAATATTATAAATTAAATTTTAATCTTTTCTTGATATAAAATATATATATATAGGCCCTAATGCTGCCATTAAGTAATTATAACTAAAATTTTAAATAACAATAAAATACAATTCTCATAAACCCCAATTATGTTGTCCTTGTTTGAGATTAATTAATTAAAATTTAATTAATTAATACAATAATGAAGAATACATTTGTCTTGAAAACAAATTAGCCAACTATCATTAAAAATGCACAGGATAATAAAATAATTCATTAAATTTAAACTATACGAAGTAATGTAAGTAAATATAATTTACAAACTATTGACACGAACAAACTGACTATATTGCACTATAAACAGTAAGTATTATACTATAACATTATCAAAATGATAATAAATACCAACGTAGCTTTCTCTAACATCAAAAGAATCGTAATAATAATGAATATAATACCCTAAATATAAAATTAGTAATGTTGATTTTCTGCATAATTCAGAGAATCTGTGTCTAAAAGTCATTTTAAAATCAAATACAGGTTCTACTGTCAATTGTTAAAAATACAGGTTATATTTTGTTGCGTGTAAGCAGGAAATAATGGTAATTCACTTTACGTTTTACTTTATGACAAACAGATAAATTTATATTTGGAAATAATTCTTTTCAATATATTAAACAAGCATTTCTGAAACCAAACACTATTACGGTGAGTTGCTAGAGAAATACATTAAAACAGAGATAAAATTATTGTTCTGTAACTTAGAGAACTTTCACAAGACCTAACCATTTTATTTAATAGTAATATCATAATTCTACAAGAGTATCTTATACATTTATGAATTATCTGGGTACTTTGTATGCATAGAATTTTGTCAACAATGTAACTTGTTTACTAAAAATTGAAAAAATAAAAATATAATGATCACAAGAAGTCTTTCAATTCATATATCTTGACGAATGTTTATTAATTCCATTGTATGTACTGAGTACGGCCTATATCAAATATAAATTAATTTTTTTAATTACTCACTAAATTACTGACAAAGTTATGCATTATAATTGTCTTTTTGCAAATATTAAATTTTAATGTTAAGAAGACATCAATAATTCTTGACAAAGCATTAATAAATGAATGTTTTATGAATTTTTATATTGTGCAACTTAAATCGTTAGTTAAAATAATAATAACGTAAATAAAGAATATGTTTTTCATTAGAACAATTCTCTGTATAAATTAAAGAAAATTCTAAAAATATTACTTTAACTCAAACAGCTGTAAAANCCGTTTTATATGAATTCCATGTTGTACGAGTCACTTAGATTTTACAAATACGTGAGCCGTTCACAGCCCGGCAGACGTCTTTGTAAAATCTAAGTGACTCGTACAACATGGAATTCATAAAACGGAATAATCAACAGTGTTATAGGAGGTCGACTGTATTATATTAAGAATGACATTTTTTACATTACGAATCTTCACACGTAGAACTTTTAATCATACATATTTTTATGCAAATCAAAGTTTCGCGTCAAATTAAATTTGTTATTAATAAATATTTTACAGTATTATTCTTACAAGTAATAGTTACAGTAAACATTTTGTAATGAGAAAAGTAAGTGGCGAATAAAATCAGAATATGAGTAATATATACAGTATTTTAATACAATAATTCTTAAGCAATGTTTAATACTCAGACAAGATTTTAGGGATATTTATCAGTAATAAATGTGTAAATGATATCAGAATGAAAAAGTTTGTCTGAAATAATTTTAATTAATTTAAACTTACAGCAGGAGACTCTTCTGTTTCATTGGACTCACTAAAAATTTCTTCATTTATGCAGTCTGCAGTTTTATTTTCGAAGAGTATTTCTTCTTCATCTTGTGTAATATTTTTCACTGCATTATATACAGCAGGACCGTCATGATTCGAGTCAGTTTCCTTCATTTCAGAAACTAAAGTATTCCAAAACATTTAAAAAATTAACAAAACTTAGGTTAGGAGAATTCAAATATTATATAAGCATTAGAGAAAAGTAAACGAAAGAAAATTAAAATTTGTACTTGGAATAAATTTATCAAATCAGTAGTTAAGAAAGATGCTTTTGAGATTTATTTGAGAATATCTAACCTGTTTGTGGTTTTTACACTATAATTTTAATGCTTGGCGTATGTTAAAAAGTATTACTCGTATATAATTATTATTATTGTAAACCTATACATAAAGCATAACCAATATATTTTTATTGTATTGTATATTAAGCAATTTATATATAAATGCATTATAATTGTATATATACCTTGCTATAATATTAATGTTTGTGTATCGATGGAGAAATAAAATAACGGCATGTTGAATAATTGTAATACAGAAAACTAAATATAATTCTTTAATAAGATCTAAAAATAAGACGTGAACGTCTATTATAAATAAAGTCTTTGCATTAAAAAACTCTTCATTACAATAATTTCCATTTTATAGTTGAACATAAAGTTTTTATCATTATAAGTTTTATATTTATGTTCTACGTTATTAACAAAAATTATAAATATCTGAATTCATTCAAAATAAATTGTCTAAATTTCTTGCATCGGCTTTATTCCCTGATGAATGATGTTATCATTTTCAGTTAGCTAAATAGTGTAATAAAAACTATATCCAGCAATATCGAAAAATAGAAATATAATTTAGAAAACAGCAAATATAAGTTTTCTACAAATGTGCTCAAAAGCCTAATTGCAGTGCCAACATCGAGCTCTATAAACAGTCACAAGGAACAGGTTCAGTGATATTTCGATATGTCTTTTTGATAGTAATGCAATTAAAATTGTATTATAGAGATTTTGACTGAATTGCCTTCCAGACCATTGTAACGATTATAGAGATACAATCTAGGCATTCCTTTTTTGTCACTGGCTTCGTGAACGGTTATATAAAATTTAGCTGTATATGTTAACATTAATATTAAATTATTAGTAAAGTAATATTCATAAAATTTACCGTTAGGTTGCTGATCGGTCGCATCTAAGAGAAACTGAAAATTTTCTGACGCTATATGCAGGTTTGGTTCTAGCGCTTTTGAGGAATTAAGAGATGAAGAGTTATATCCGGAAAGTTCTGTTTGTTTTCCATATTCAAAAAGTACATATGGCTGCTTCTGATCTCCGGATAACTCTGGCACCAGACAATGTTGTAACACTTCTGTTGGTGGCGCATAATGCTGTGGTTTTGATGTCTGTTCATGCTCTTTCATTTCCGGGGGTGTCCAATATTCGGTTATTATTGGTTGAGATTCATACCGAATAGTTTCAGGATAGGAGCAATAATCATTCGTTCCTGTGGGCCGTTTATCTTCATTTATTTCAGAATACGGCAAATAGTCATTCGTATGTGATGGCCGTCCATATTCGTACCCCTGAGGATACGGCCAAGAATCAGTTGTTTCTGAAGTCCGTCCATATTCATTCGATTGAGGATACGACCAATAACAATTATTTGTTTCTGAGGGCCGTCCGTACTCATTCACTTCAGGATATGGCCTATAATCAGTTGTTTCTGAAGGCCGTCCATATTCGTTCGCTTGAGGATACGACCAATAACAATTATTTGTTTCTGAGGGCCGTCCGTACTCATTCACTTCAATATATGGCCTGTAGTCAGTTGTTTCTGATGGCCGTCCATATTCATTTACTTCAGGATATGGCCTATAATCAGTAGTTTCTGAAGGCCTTCCATATTCATTTACTTCAGGATATGGCCTATAATCAGTTGTTTCTGAAGGCCGTCCATATTCGTTCGCTTGAGGATACGACCAATAACAATTATTTGTTTCTGAGGGCCGTCCGTACTCATTCACTTCAATATATGGCCTGTAGTCAGTTGTTTCTGATGGCCGTCCATATTCATTTACTTCAG